AATATGTAAACCGGTGGTTCATCCATGTATTTGGAGGTGAGTAGATGTATAGAAGATATAAGTAATGATTTGTATATATGTTTTGGAATATATAAATTTTAGACATGATATTATGTAGTGGTTGAGGTTTATTTAAAATATCAAACACCAATATATACAAGGAAAATTATATCATTTTATTAACAAATTAGTATATTTCAAATTTATCTGATTATATATTATATGGTCATACATATAGGATATAAATGAAAGTAAGAATAAAATAGTATAATAACAAAAATATATTTCTTCATGGCTTTTAAGAGGAACCTTCTATTTGAAACAACTAGGTTGTATAAATCCAACTTACCTAAGTTATATTTGTTTATTTTATAAGTCTCTTTATGGTTTAAAATAAGCTTTTAGAGTTTGGTTTGATTGCTTATCTCAATTTTTATTTATTCGATATTTATTCTAGCAAAACAGACACATCATATTTTATTGATAAAAAATAAGGATTTTATTTTATTATTTATTTATGTAGATGATATAATTTTGATGGGTAGTAGTACATCTCTCATCCAAAGTCTCTTCCATAAATTGAATACGGAATTCCAAATGCACCGAGTACCTTTTAACCCAAAAAAAATGCTATATTCTTCTTCTCTATCTATCCGATGGTAATCAAACCTCTCATCTTGGCTAATGATTATATTCTCACCGAAGAGACTAAATTTTGCAGCATTGTTGGAGCTTTTCAATATCTAACCTTCACTTGACTAGATATTATCCGTGTTGTAAATAAATAATGTCAATATTTTCGTAAACCTCTGTGCTATGAAAAGTATACCTTAGTACTCCTAGTATTGGCATCCAAATTTTATCTCAAAGTTTCATTACTTTTACAAACTTTTGTAATATAGATTTGACTGGTTGTCCCTTATCAAGACAAAGCGTCACTAAATTCTGTATTTATCTTGGAGCAAATTGTATGACTTGGATCTTAAAAAAGTAATTTATCATTGCTCGATCAAGAGTCGAAGCTAAATATCATGCGCTTACCTCTACTATTACGGAACTCAACATAAATCAGCTATCTCTTTTGTGATATTGGCATCCATTTTAGGAAGCAATTACAACTTTTTAGTGACAATTTGAATACCTTACATATGACATATAATATAGTATTTCATAGATTAAGCATTTTGTTTAAAAAATTTTTACTATCTATGCTCTTGTCACTAAATTCAGTATTCTTCATTGTAAATCATAAATATTTTTACTAAACCCCTGTCCCAACAAGTATTTTGTACTTTTTGATTCAAACTGGGAGTTCGGTCGTTTCTAGTCTCTGGTTTGAGGGGGAACTGAAGAAATTAATGCAATCTTACTATATCAACTCAACCATGACAAGAACGTAATGGAGAAAGTCAACCAAATTAATTGACCAATTTTGCATTATATTACATAACAGAAACATGGAGAAATCAAATAGTATCATGTATGATTCATTGAAATTATTTTCATGCAGAGCAAAAGAGAAGCTTGAGATGAAATAACAAAATGACAAATCCATGATTCAAGGGATTATTTCTTCCTTTGTCCATATTGCTTAGTCGTACAAACTTTTAACGTTAGAAATTGTCAATCCATTTATATATAAAGATTTTACAAGGACCTTATTGTAAATTGAGAATACGAGTGAAAATTTACTTTCTTTTTCATTACCTTCTCTTATCTTTATTTTCCCCTTTTCAAAGTTCAACAAAATATAAACTCAAATGTTTTCCCATTCAAGATTCACACAAATCTTTTTTTCACTTTTAATGTGAGCATAAATTTACCGATTGTTTGCTGGTCAGTGATACTCTCCACTTGGAATATAAGAGCCATGCCTTGTGATTATGTGGATAGGCAACAATTTGTTGAACCTTTCGTCTCGCTTCGTCGAAGTTTACGATCATTAGCTTTTTTTGTAATGGTAGTTTGAGCTATCTGTCAATTGATACTCTTTTTTAGTATTTTAGTATCAATTTACTGTTAAATTGACGTTTTTGTCTGGATATGTTTTATGTTTTGAAGTAGTTCCTGTAAGCATAAAATTCGTAATATGTTGTATTACAGATGAAGGTAACACTAATGAATGTCTTTGCCAGGATACGTTCTATGTTTTTGAGTAGTTTCTAGATGAAGATATCATTTTTTAGTCCTCCTAATTAATTTCTTGTTTCTTGACTAAAATATATATTTTTTATATTTCAAAACCATCTACCCTGATAGGAATTTGAATCAAAATTTACCCTCAAATATGGTATTGTCTAATTTTTTTATTAAAATTATTGTTTATTATTCTACTTTTTCTTTGATTTCACTCAAAATTATTTGATTGATACTATTGTTTAATTATCCATGAGTTTTTGATATTAATGACTTTCAGATTTATAATTTGTATATAAAAAGGGAAATATACATGCTTTAGATTTGATTAATTATTTTAAAATTTAGTAAACTCTATCCAGAGATTTTTATGATGTTCATGCCTTCACAAATCAATTTAGATTGTTTGTTAACAATTATTTAGTTATGTGGATCATGACATAAAATTTTAAAGCACTGTTAACTGTTTTTCATGCCTTCAGGTTCTTAAGTTAGATTATTGTTGATACTATAAACCTTGTTTGTATATAATTATATATAATATTTTTAATCCAATTTAAAGATGGTCACATTTAATATTATTTACGTTTTCATTTTCTAAGTTAATTGAAACATATTTCTTTAGTTTTTACCCTGTAATAAAAGGAAAAAAAATTAAATTAGGTCTTGTTGGACCTAACCTAGGGTTAGGTTTTGGGTTCAGACCTATGCTCGGCATGGATCAGATAAGTTGGGCTGCTTAGGAGAATATATTGATCAAAAAGTACAAAAAGATAAAAACGACAAAACATCAAATTTACATGGTTCGATCAATTGACTTTGACCTACATCCATGGACGAAAGAGGAGCAAATCACTACTATAAAATAGATTATTAGATGTTCCTAGGTCATAAAACACCCGAAAATACTAAATAAGAAAAACCTCAACTATAAACCCAAACTATTTAACTGAGTGTGGACTTAAACCCAAAGCAAACACTTAGGTTTTTCTTGTGGTGCTTTTGACTTCAAAGCTCAAGCCCTTATTTATAATTCCAATAGGAG